AGGGAAATTTATTTTTTGTTTGCAGAAATGCATACAAAAATAGCTGGCCTGTCACATTATCACCTAGACCATTATTAATGGTTTATCAGAAGTGGCCACAAAATCACAGAAATAAAAGTTTTATTTCCTCAGAAGAATCTTATACTTGTGGTCCAGAATACAGTCCAGCTTAACTTTCTTTTTCTTTTTTGAGATGAAGTCTTGCTCTGTCACCCAGGCTGGAGTGCAGTGGTGCGATCTCAGCTCACTGCAACCTCCGCCTCCTGGGTTCAAGGAATTCCCTGCCTCTGCCTCCTCAGTAGCTGGGATTACAGGTGTCCACCACCACACCAGGCTAATTTTTGTATTTTCAGTAGAGATGGGGTTTCACCATCTTGGCCAGGCTGGTCCTGAACTCCTGACCTCCTGATCCACCCGCCTTAGCCTCCCAAAATGTTGGGATTACAGGCATGAGCCATCATGACTTGCCCAGCTTAATTCCCAGTCGTTTTTTTAGAATTGGCCTCATGATGTATCAGGAGTTGTCAAAGGGAAGTCAGATGAATCCTGCCACAGTGATCCCTTTGGTCTGTCTGGCTCAAATCAGTAAGGGAGTGAGATGCCAGCCTTCTGTTTTTAATTAGATTTGGAGTTAGAAGCCTTGGATTCCAGTGTGAGCACTGCCATTAATTTGCCCTGTGATTTCGCTGTTTTAGCCTATCTTCATTGGTGAAAAGGGCTAATAATAACTTTAACCCATCTCACAGAAATGTAGCAAGGAGAAAAAACAATGCATTTGGAAGTTATCTGAAATGCTAAAAGGCCAAATATAAACATAGGTATTAGTTTTACAAGGGCCTGGAATTACTCAACCTTTTGTTTCTAACTTAAAGCTTGAGAGAAAGCTATTTCCTTTTGCTCCTAATTTGGACAAAAGATACAAAGCATCCCACTTGGACTTTTCTCCTACTTCAAGCATTTGGCTTGCAGAAGACTTTTGTCAGCCAGCTACCAACTCATAAAGTTGAAAGGGGAAATCTGAATTCCACTCCGAGTCAGGGGTGTGGAGGTGAAAAGGAAAGGAAATGTCATTGGAACTTTCCTGGTCTCCAAGGGGAAACTGGGCAGGACCAAATACAAAGATAAGTACAACCACACAGCCTGTTAGACCACTGCAGAGAATCCATTTCAGTTTAAAGTTGGATGGCAACAGAGGTGACTTGACTCTACATAAAGTTAATCTAGGAGCAGAGTCAAAATTGCTGGGATACAAATTACACAAGTTTTACCTCAATCATAAGAGATAGCATGTGAAACGTCTTCCTACCTTGGAGGCTTGTCATATCCATGACAATTCCTCTGCCCAGAGGACCCCTTTTTGCTTCCCCCTGTCTGTTTTTGTTGTTTTTGTTTTTTTTGAGACAGAGTCTTGCTGTCACCCAGGCTAGAGTACAATAGCGCGATAGCGGCTCACTGCAACTTCTGCCTCCCGGGTTCAAGCGATTCTCCCGCCTCACCCTCCTGAGTAGCTGGGACTACAGGTAAGTGCCACCATGCCCAGCTAATTTTTGTACTTTTAGTAGAGACAGGGTTTCACCATGTTGGTGAGGCTGGACTCAAACTGCTGACCTCATGATCCACCTACCTGGGTCACCCAAAGTCCTGGGATTACAGGTGTGAGCCACCGGTCACCCAAAGTCCTGGGATTACAGGTGTGAGCCACCACACCCAGCTTCCTTGCTGTCCTTTTTAAGGAAGTCCTTCTTAGGGACGTATTTCCAGCCAACACTGCTGCCCTAACGCAATCCAGATCATGTCCAGTGCAAAAACCCAGAGCATCCTGCGTTACTCCAGTGTGTGCATTGATCATTGGAATGATCAGTTCATTATTTTGACAGTTTGATTGTTGTTCTCTTCCCCCTCCTCTAATCAGCTCCCTGAGGACAACAACCGTTTGATTTCACAGCATCCTCAGAGTGGAGTAGAATGCCTAGCTCAGAGTGGGCCCTCGTTAAATATTTATTGAATGAGTGATGAAAGAAATACGATCTGAAAAGAACGCCAAAGAAGATTATCTCAGCTCTTACATCATTTCTAGGTAGGTATATTCATGTAAATATACGCTATTTACAGTAAAACTCTTAGTTTACTGTTGCTCCGGGAAAGCATGTTACAAGCAGAGGGAAATCATACAATGAGGGGTTAAGAAATCAATTATCATAATTTAATAGTAAGGAAAGGTGTTGCACATCCTGAATAAGGGATCCTTAAGGACTAGACAGTTTACAAGGTCCCAAATACCCATGCCTAGACATTTCAAGGAAGGGACATGAAAAGGGCGAAGCCATCACTTCTCAGGCTTGAAGGTACAAGCCACAGTCAGCAGACATCAGAGAGAAATTTCCTTCTGGGCCTGTGTTATGTGATAGAACAGACGGTTGCATGATGGAGCCACTAAGTCTTTCTCAAGTTATCAAGACAGTGCCGAGAAGTCTTTCTCAAATTATCAAGACAGTGCCCAGAGACACAGGTAAAATAGTAGCCAGTTTTGCTGTGTTCTGTGTACTTTCTTCTGTTCTAGCAAGTTGAAAAGTATGGCTAATTTGGCATTCACTCATGTGAATGCAAATAAATCAGGAAGAGAAAATGTTCAAAAACTATCATTCAAGCTCTGCAGTGCAATAAAGAAGTTAAAGTTCTTAATCTTTAACCTTAAGCCCCTGCTTTTTGAAAAAAGATAAGTCCTGTACTGTGTTACATTTTTTTTCTCTCACTCTTGTTCTCAACACATTTGGTGCAATTTTTTAACAAAATGAAGTTTTAATTTTTGCACTGTGGTCATTCTATGAAACAAAGCATTAAATTCTATCTTCCTCACTAAGTGGTTTGAGTTTGACTTTCTGGCAGCTAAATCTACCCCATTTATTTGTGTGTTAAATCTGAAAAAAAGAATGAGGATGCTGAGTAATGAAGATTGTGTCTTTTCTGGGGCATTTAAAGCTATAGGGTTTCTATCCTTTCCTTCGAAAGATTGTACACAATATATTATGTTGCAAATCAAAATGAATTAAGTGAAACTGAGAGATCAGAGAAGACGTAAAGAGGTGCCAGTTTCTGTAGAGGTTCTTTCATGGATGATGCTTTGGGCCTATCGATTTGGAAAGAAAAATTCATATATGTAACTTCACCAATGTTTTATTTTATATAAAATCTATGTTGTTCTTCTACTGTGTCCTACCTAATATTCTGCAAATTCTAACTATTTAAAGGTAGATAGAAATGAAACCATTTAAATGCTGCTTAGTAATTTCAAAATAATAATAAGCAGGAGATTTTCTCTTGTGTCATTAGCCATTTAACCCCCTATACTTGTGCCACTGCTCCTGCTACTACTGGCAGAAATCCCAAACACTCAAATAATCAAAACCCAAAGAGGTTTATATTTTTTCCATTTCATATTCAAAGCCCATCTCAAGCTATGAACTGCCTTCATTCCTGAAATTGTTTGAAATTCATTAATTTTATTTTTCCTTTGGGAGAGTAAGAACAGGTCACGATGGAAGAGGAAACTGCCATTTGTTTCCTTCTGTGGAATCTCTCCCTTACTCCATTTAGTTGAAGCTGGGAGTGAAGACCTGGATCTACTCCATTCTGGGGAGAAGTTAGCTTTTTTCTGTTCAGAGAAAATGTTCTACGTAAATTTAGCAAAAGAATGGATGAATGAAAGAATACAATTTTCTGGCCAGGTGTGGTGGCTCATGCCTGTTATCCCACACTTTAGGAGACTGAGGCGAATGGATCACTTGAGGTCAGGAGTTCAAAACCAGCCAGGCCAACATGGTGAAAACCCATTTCTACTAAAAATACAAAAATTAGCTGGGTGTGGTGGCACATGTCTGTAATCCCAGCTACTCAGGAGACTGAGGCAGGAGAATTGCTTGAACCTAGGAGGGGGAGATTGCAGTGAGCCAAGATAGTACCACTGCACTCCAGCCCGAGTAACAGAGTGAGACAGTCTCAAAAAAAAAAAAAAAAAAAAAAAAAAAAAAAATTACGATTTTCACTGTATTAAAATGAATTATTTTCATCCCATGATTTTACTACAATTTCAAGTCCACTGTCAATCAGGCTTTGCAAAATAGGTTTTATGCCTCCATACAGAGAAATAGATCATAACAAAAATGTGGCTCTTGAAGAGCTTAGAAAAAAGGGGCCTGTGCTGAAGCAAGCTTTACATAACATATCTTGTCTGAGTAACACTTAGAAGCTTCTCCACGAGTAGAAAGGATCATTTTGGAGTATGAGGCAAAGTAAGGTGTTCACAGCAACAGATATGTTTCAAATGTTTCATTGAGGCTGAGCAATGACCTGTCTCAATCAAACTATCATTGACAACCTTCTTGTTCCATCATCACTGTGGTATGGAGATATACCATGACTTAGGGAGAAATCTTTGCTTTTATCTGATCCACGGTGGAATCTTGTCTCTATATTGTTCCTTTGCTTTTACTTTTTTTCTCTCAGCGATTATGGAATTTTCCCTTTGGTTTCTCTTCAAGGGGTCCTCGTGTTTAAGGGGTGAGGGAATGATTAGCTACTTCAGTCTACTTTAATAAAAGTGCCAAGCTCCTGGCTTCCCCGTGGTGTGGCTCAACACGGAGGTAGAGCTTAACTGCACCATGTAGATGTGTGTGCCTGCGGTCAGGGACTGCGGTAACTGCCACCCCTGACGTGTGCGGTGTGTGCTAATGGGATTCCCCAGAGACTGGTGACACCAAGGCAAGGTAAACGCTGTTCCATGTTAAATGGAAGCTCAGGCTCCCTTTAAAGTCAAACTTTGCAAAAGACCCTTTAGGTGCTGATCACATGCAACCTCCTCAGACATTTCACAGATATGTTATTTGTGCTCAAGGAGGGGTCTCCTTTCACCCCCCGCAATCCAAATCTTTGCCCTGTGCTTCGGAGTCAGTGGGGGCTTGTCGGATAAGCCGCTGGGAAAATATGCGTCCCCTCATTTCTCCTTGGTTAACTAAGGTCACCTTGACAGAACGCTTCCCTGTCCCTCTGGCGCTACCTCTGTGGTGCCCTGACCTGCCTCTCTACTAGAAATTATCTACCTGTTCCGGAGGTTTCCTGGAAATCCCGGCTTCCCAGCTCCCTGCCTGCAAGCAGAATTATCCGCCGGTCCTCACCCCCAAACTCTGGGACAGCAGTGGGGCTGCACTTGCCATTAATGGCCATCATCTATTTTTAATCGGAAGATCACAAGAAAGATGATAAGCGAATCCCAGTCGCAAGTCAATTTAAATAGCATTCCTGGGGAAATCCAATCACTTAAAACCGAGACACCTACGCTAGCGAGAGCCCCCGCCGGTCTGGCGGGCCTAAGCACGAAGGCTGAGTTAATCAAGATCAAGGGGCTCCCTGGCTGAGAGCGGAGCGTTAACCCTTCCAGTCCCAGAGAACGACTAGGCAAGAGAGGAAAGACACGGCCGGCCTGAGCCAAGATGCCCGCGGCAGCCCCGCGCATGCTGCCTCTACCATTTAGAGCGGCTCCAGACGCCTCGCACCCGACCCGGGCGGTTGGGCGCTCGAGTTTAAGGTCAGAAGCTCGGGAAACTGCTTGGGCAGCGAGTAGCCGCCGCCGCCCGCATCCTCCGCGCGCCGCGGGCTCCTCCTCCCGCCCAAGCGTGGCCAAGTGAGGACTGCTCCGGCCGCAGGTAGCTGAGGCGCGAGAGGCGGCGCGCGCGGTACCCGAGCGGAGCGCCGGGGAGGGGCCGACGGACGCGCGGGCGGACGGACTCCTCAGCCTCCCTTCCCGGACGTTAGCCGCGGTCTGCGCGGGCCATGTGGGGACCCGGGGTCACGGCCGAGGGCCTGTCGGTGGCTCCGGCGCCGCCGCCTTTGCTGCCGCTGCTGCTGCTGCTGGCTCTGGCGCTGGTGGCGCCCTCGCGGGGCGGCGGGGGCTGCGCGGAGCTGGCGTGCGGCGAGCGGGAGCGCTGCTGCGACGCGACCAACGCCACCGCGGTGCGCTGCTGCAAGCTCCCGCTGCACGCCTTCCTGGACAACGTGGGCTGGTTCGTCCGCAAGCTCTCGGGGCTGCTCATCCTGCTGGTGCTCTTCGCCATCGGTTATTTCCTGCAGCGCATCATCTGCCCCAGTCCACGCAGGTACCCGCGCGGCCAGGCCCGCCCGGGGCAGCGGCCCGGGCCTCCGGGGGGCCCCGGACCGCTGGGCGGCGCGGGGCCGCCCGACGACGACGACGACTCGCCCGCTCTGCTGCGCGACGAGGCGGCCGCGGGCTCGCAGGACTCACTGCTGGACAGCGGCGGCAGCGGCCGGGGCCGGGGAGGCTGCGGGCGCTCGGACCCCTCCTGCACCTCGGAACACGAGCTGCGCGTAGTGTCGCCGGCCTTCCTGCAGCTGCCCAGCTACGAGGAGGTCAAGTACCTGCCCACCTACGAGGAATCCATGCGTCTACAGCAGCTCAGCCCCGGGGAGGTCGTGCTCCCAGTGTCGGTGCTTGGCCGCCCGCGAGGCGGGGGCGCCGCGGAGCCCGACGGCGGCGAAGGCCGCTTCCCCCTCATTTGAGCGCTCGGGGATCGGCGGCTGGTGCAGGGCTGGGGGCTGCGGGTGGCACGCAACGGCCAGGTGCCGCCGCCGCCAACTGCCTCAGACCCTATCTGGCACCCCGGCCTAACTGCCCGGCACCCCGAGACTGGGTTGTGGTCACTCGTGTCCCTAGCGTTCTCCCGGGAGGTTACGTTTCCCTGCGTTTCATTCCGTTGAAAGAAACGTGGGGGACGCGCGCGGCTGCGGCTGTAGCAGGCAACTCTCGAACGCACCTTCGAAGGACGTCCCCGCCCTCTGCCTTACCTGGTCCTGTGGTTCACTCGTAAGTGCCTGCTTCCCGAGTCAAAGAGAACACGTGAGCCCTTTGGTGCGTCGGGAGAAGGGCGGTCTTCTTTAGGGTTGAGGAGAAAGCGCAGTTCCACTCCTTTCCCTACCTGCCACTTGGACAGGTCACGGTCTCCCAGGGTGGGCACAGGGCGAGGAGCCGTTGGGGACGGGCCGCGACCCGGGACTGCTGCGCGTGGGTGTGGAGAGCGGCACTTGGGTATGATGGAATCCCTCCCACGCGGCGGACCCCCCCAAAAAAAACCCCCTCGGTGTCTTCCTGATCCAGCAAAATAGTCACAGCTGGTGTTTCACAATTAGCTGGAGTGCGGGGAGTGGGGGAGGGGGAACACCTGTGATACACGGTTAGTTGCTGTAGATACTCAGGGCGCAGCAACTACGTATACCCATTCGGCTGGACTTTTGATTGTTCAATAATTGAGAAGGTATTTCTATTTATTTGTCTTTTCTTCTAATATTTTTACCATGCATTGCACCCAACAGGAGGGTATTTCAGCAAATTCGTGACAAGGTAATCGTCTTATCACTTTTTGTAGGGCATTAATGGTCAGGAAATTGCCCACACTCTGTCATTATTGTTTAATAAAACGTTGGACATTATTTCATTAAAAAAGATAAACAGAGGTATGGTCAAACAAGGAAGCATATTTGACATAATAAACATGAAGGATATCTTATTTTCACTATTTGAGAAGAATATATTTTATTTTTAGTACTGTGGCATAATATATAACTTTTTATAATAACTGTATGCATTATGTAGTATAGCGCTTAATTGTATCATTCATCACATATGTAAAAATAATTAACATGTACATGCCATATCATGAAACATGTGATGTGCATTTTCTCCTCCATTTTTCATTTGGAATACATTCCACAACATAATCCAAAACATAAACACTTGTGACTTGTAATTTTTGTTTAAAGCCATTAATTGTGCAGTGATGTGCTACAGAAGGATTTGATGAGCTTCTCTTAAGAAACAAGTGTGATTGTATCCGTTTCCTGTTCTGTGACATACCCTTTAAAAGTAAAAGGTAATAGAGCATATTTTAATACATTGTGTGTAATGTACATATGCATATTGTCTATGTACTGTATACACATTGTTTATAATATTGTATTAGTTTGTCATTCTCATGAAAGGAGAAGAAGGAAAACAAATACAAAAGGTTTCTCTGCTTGAGAAAACGTCAATGTTGTTGTATCAAGAACAATTACACACATGGATCTCATACATGTTTTTAGAACATTGTTCTTCTGATTAAAGAAGTCCGACACTCTTGAAAAATCTTTAAATATCTGATTTGTATTAGAAGAAAGTTATTTGATTAAACTTTTAAAGGCTGGTAGAAAAAGTCTGACATTTCTGAGAAATTTTAAAATGTAATAAAAGAGAACGGTTAACTTTAAATTTCTAAAAACTAATGACCCTATGACTAAAGAAAAATCATTTCAAATGTATTAAAACATAGCAAATCATTAAAATCTTTGTGCAAATTTTATCAGATGTGTGGCTATATGGTAGTATATGAAAATATGAAATATGTATTTGTCATTTAAAGCAATTTGAGCTGTGAATTGACAAATGTATCAGGAGATGAGGCTATATCCATTCAGAATGGTACAAAATTTAATTACATTATAGAGGTAATCACATATATTAATGTTACTCAAATACTGTAAATTTTTGTTATATGTGGCTATCAATACTACTCACCATTCAAACAAACTGGAAAGTTGCCATATTTTTAAAAATGATTTATTCTTTGAGGTTACACTGTTTTAGACATTTCACAAATGTTACCTGTATCTGAAACATCAACGTAAATATCCAAATACCTGTACCAGTATAAGAAGCATAGTCTATATGTAGTTACTGTAACATCTTAAAGAAATTTAACAAAATTATATAAAAAATACTTACAATGTGGATCAAGTATATATCTTTTATCAACTATGGAACATTTCTCTACTTAAAAATCTAGAATGTCTATAAAGTAGTATACGCTTGATACCAATCACACAATGAGGTTTACTGAATTTTAAAATAACAGGTTTTCACCTGTCTTTTTTACCAGCCCAACCCACAAGCTTTTATTCACTTCCCTCAGTTCAATAGAAATGAATTGACTCTGCCGTTGGGTTTTTGTTTGTTTGTTTCCTTGCAATCCACTGATTTACCAAGGACAATTTTGTTCAGGCATAATTCTGTGGAAAAAAATTATTTAAAACACTGTTTTTATTAGTGATAAATGAGCATGTCTCCTGGTAATACATATACATATAACAGCCCATATTAACAGAACCTGTGTGTTTGTAGCGCTGAACTGCCTGGATAGAAATATTTTCAAAGCAGTAAGGGCAGTATCTGGGTGTTAAATTTTATAGATTTCACCTGGAAATTATCTGTTACCTAGACAGAACCTATTATATATAATTGCATGTGTTTATTAATACAGAAAATATTCTGTTACCTGAAAAAAATTACACAGAAATGATGATTTTACGTATTTTTAGTATTCTGTAGTAAAAGTGGAGGATAAAACATTGTGTTCTTCAAATATATGTAGAATAATACAGTATTAACTTATGGCATGAAGTATTAATGGAATTCATATAAAACTAATTTTATGGTATATCTATCTTTTTTTTTTTTTTTTTTTTTGAGAAAAGATTTCATTTTGTTGCCCAGGTTGAAGTGCAGTGGCATGATCACAGCTCACTGCAGACTTGACTTTCTGGGCTCAAGGGATCCTCCTGCCTCAGCCTCCTGAGTAGCTGGGACTACAGGTGCACGCCACCACACCCAGCTTAATTTTTGTATTTTTTTTGTAGAGATGGCGTTTCACCATGTTGCCCAGGCTAGTCTCATCCTCCTGGGCTCAAGTGATCTGCCTGCCTTGGCTTTCCAAAGTGCTGGGATTACAGGCTTAAGCCACCATGCCCAGGCTGTGGCATATATATCTTAACCAAACCCACCTGGGAGTGCAGTGTTTTCTAGTACTAAGTGAGCTGTTGCTCCTGGTTTTCAGTTATCAAAATAATTTGAATACTAAAACATTTTAAGCACATTTTATTTTCACTGGCTTCTCATGAGTAGGGAAATAATGATCCTGCATATTATAATCCATCTGGAATGTAAAAAAAATGATTGATTTTCTAAATTTAGGTGCTAGATATATAAATATGTATATTGTATATGTACAGTTGGCTTTCCTGTATCTGTGGGTTCTGCAGACGCAGATGCAACCAACTATAGATAGAAAGCATATTTTTTTAATTTTTTGAAAATTTTTTAAGAAAGAAAATATAACATTTAAAAATGCTAATTAAACAATACGGTTTAACAACTATTTACATGACATTTATATTGTATTAAGTGTTATAAGTCATCTAGAGATGATGTAAAGTATACGGGGGATATGCATAGGTTACAGCCGCCTACACCATTTATATCAGGGAGTTGATTTTGACCTCTGCAAGGGGTCCTAAAACCAATCTCTATGGATACTTAGGGATGACTGTATTGTGTGTGTGTGTGTGTGTGTGTGTGTGTGTGTGTGTGTGTGTAATCACCAGTTGCTTAAAAGCAATTTGTTATGGGTGTTCAATATCATAACCAAGGGAAAAATGTCTTCTTGAGATAGAATGATAGTTTTAAGAGGCCATTAATTGCCACATTCTGCAAATGTGAGTGTGCTTCAACCATGGAAAATGGCATTGGCAATTATGTCAAAGGGCATGAAATGTACTCTATAAGGAAAGCAAGATTCAATTGTAAAGTCCAAAGGGAATATTAGGAAATGGACTCACTTAACAATTTAAAAGGCAATATGGTAAGTACCTTAATGTTGTACTTTTTGCATACAGTTTCCCTCAAGTGGAACTAATAAAGGAAACAATGGAAACAATTCAAAGCGGAAACTGACATAAACATGAATATGATGTCTAGATTTATACAATATTCTGCACTGTTTTATTTAAAATTTTATGAATTGTAATTAATTTGGATTTCCAGCTTGAGAGAAATAATAATGTATGTTGAGTTTTATTTTGAACAACAAACATTAGCCATCTTTTCAGAAGTGTAAGTTTCTAAAACTGATCAATAATAGAATACTTGGTAAGTTTATATCTGACCTCAGTAGTTTACGGTTTACTTTTTCATTCTCCTTCCATGCGTTGATGAAAAGGCTAATAACTGTACACTAAGAGAAGGTATTTTGTCAACCAAGGAATGAATTAGCAACAGCAAATGACAAAAAATTAAGCCATTCTTTCTTCCATATGGGTAATACCAGAAATGTTACAGTATTCCTTTGTAAAATTTTGTCTGTAAAAATAATCAAATATCAAGTAAAACCAATACTTTTGCCATATCTAAATATATAGAACCAAATTTTTTTTTTTTTTTTTTGAGGTGGAGTTTCGCTCTTGTTACCCAGGCTGGAGTGCAATGGCGCGATCTCGGCTCACTGCAACCTCCGCCTCCTGGGTTCAGGCAATTCTCCTGCCTCAGCCTCCTGAGTAACTGGGATTACAGGCACGCGCCACCATGCCCAGCTACTTTTTTGTATTTTTAGTAGAGACGGGGTTTCACCATGTTGACCAGGATGGTCTCGATCTTTTGACCTCGTGATCCGCCCACCTCGGCCTCCCAAAGTACTGGGATTACAGGCTTGAGCCACCGTGCCCGGCCTTATATAGAACCAAATTTTATTATTCATTTTTACTTACAGAACTCACTTTTAAAATTTATTTATTAATTTTTTGAGATGAGTTATTGCTCTGTCACCCACGCTGAAGTGCAGTGGTGTGATCACAGCTCACTGCAGGCTCAACCTCCCAGGCTCTAGCAATCTTCCCTCCTCAGCCTCCTAGTAGCTGGGTACAGGAGTGCACCACCATGCCCGGATAATTTTTAACTTTTTTCATTGAGACCAGGTCTCACTAAGCTGCCCAGGCTGGTCTTGAATTCGTGGGCTCAAGAAATCCTGCTGCCTCAGCCTCTGAAAGTGCTGGGATTGCAGGCATGAGCCACCACACCCAGCCCACTTGTATTAATTTTATGGCAAAAATTATACTGTGGTGCAGATACTTATGTGTGTTGCCAAACCAGATAGTATTATTTGTATCCCTCTTAAGCTTCTTAGCTAAGTGTCTTGTCTGATATCTTGCCATTCTTATTTTCTTTTTTGTGTGTGTTGTTCTTATCCTGCTTTAGATTTTCAGTAGATGTTTCCTCAGAAACACATCTTTTAGAACTCCATGTTATTCTGCTGTGATTTCATATCTCTCTGGTTATGGCTTCACCTTTTGTACAGCTGCTTCTTTTGGTGAAATGGTATTTTCCAATGTGCTTCCTTTGTTTTCTCTTTGCATCTGACTTCCGTAGTTTTTCCACGTGGACCCAGGTGTGGTTTCTCCTCTTTAACCACTAAAGGACTGTAAGCTTTTAAAATCTGTTATTATCTGTGGAGCTTTTCTCTGTGATGCTGGACAAACAATCAAATATTTTCATGTCTCCAGCAAGGATTGTTCTAAATCTCAAATGTAATAGATCTAGATGTACTACTAACTCTTTATCTTCTGCTTTCTCACCTGGATTTTCCTGGAGGGATTATCAGCACTTTTCTCCCCATGTTTTCCCAAAGATGTGTTCTCTGTTATATTAGGACAATTAATTGGACCCTTGCATTTTAGTGATGACAGGGATCTTATTTTGGCTTCCAAACCTCAAGTATATTCTTTCTTCAGGGACTACTACATCTTTCCACTGGATTTTTCTCACAGGCATCGTTGTGGTATTCTGTGTGTGTGTCACTTTATGTAAGTAATGATCACCTGTTTTCTTCCTATTTTTGCTCGCAGACATTTTATTTGTTGTACTAGTTAAAAGATCATATCCTCTATCTTTGTAGGAAAGACTTTATTTGAGCCTCTGGACCTCAAAGGTGACTTGATTCACAATTGATTGCTCTGTCTTTTATAATGTTCTTATGGGATTTTTCACATGGGCTCCTCTGAAACTTCCTCTGTATAATGTATCTCTGTTTTACTGGAGAGACTAGAAAATGCTTGTACTTTCACATTTCTTTTATTCCTGCTTGCAGATATGATCTTGAAGTTATAATAACTTGAATTCCCACTGTAGTAGGACCTTATCTGAAATTGTCAATAGTTTTATTTTCTGCCTCCTCGTTGCCTACATTAGTTTCACCAGACAGAGGATTAGAACCTTCCAGATTATTCCCGTTTCATTTTGGTTTGTGTGAATTTTTTCTTCTGTATTGACCAAAGATAACACCAGATAAAATTAATATTGATTATTTTTCTAGGTCTTAAAAACATCTTCTTTCCATTTGTAGATTTCAATTTTTTTGCAAATTCTTCATTGGTTTATCATTCTTTTCCATGTGTATAATCTCTGTTGAACTACCCAAATGATCAGATTCTAAAGATTTATACCAGTTTTACCTTCTCCCACCCCACTAACCCTTTTCAACCCGCCTCCCCACCCCCCCACCCCCCATGTTACATTCAGTCTTTTATTTCATAGCTCCATCTTCTGAGTATTTCTCTTGGAAACTCTTCACTATATATATGTGTATGTGTGTGTGTGTGTGTGTGTGTGTGTGTATTTTTTTTTTGAGATGGAGTCTCGCTCTGCTGCCCAGGCTGTAGTGTAGTGGTGCAACCTTGGCTCATTGCAACCTCCACCTTCTGGGTCAAGTGATTCTCCTGCCTCAGCTTCCTTAGTAGCTGGGACTACAGGCATTCATCACCATGCCCAGCTAATATTTGTATTTTTAGTGGAGATGGGGTTTTGCCATGCTGGCCAGGCTGATCTTGAACTCGTGACCTCAAGTGATCTGCCCACCTCAGCCTCCCAAAGTGCTGGGATTATGAGTGTGAGCCACCAAGCCCAGCATCTTCACAATATCCTTTTAAAGTTTATTTATTTGAATCTTGTCTGTTGATGTAAGCAACTGAGACTCTTGCAGTTTTTATCAGTTTTGTATTTGGGTGTCAGACATAGGGTCATTTTCTGACTCAGCTTTTTTGAAAATTAAGTTTATGGCCAGGCGAGGTGGCTCATACCTGTAATCCAAGCACTTTGGGAGGCTGAGGCAGGTGGATTACCTGAGGTGGGGAGTTCAAGACCAGCCTGACAAATATGGTAAAACCCCATCTCTACTAAAAATACAAAAATTAGCCAGGTGTGGTAGCAGGAGCCTATAATCCCAGCTGCTCAGCAGGCTGAGGCAGGAGAATCACTTGAACTTGGGAAGCGGAGGTTGCAGTGAGCCGAGATCATGCCACTGCACTCCAGCCTGGGTGACAGAGCAAGACTCCATCTCAAATAAAAAAGAAAATTAAGCTTCTATTTCTTTATATTAATTTCTTTGCACATATTTGTTTGGCTAGGCAAAGGTTTTAGATTCTTGAAAATCTTATATATTTTTTTAGGGTAAATCTGATTCTTTGACTAATTCGATCTTGCATGTTCTTTGGCCACGTCTCCAGTTTCAGAAGCATTTATTTTAGATTCATATTATTAACAAGGGTTAAAAAAGGTTGGGTTTTTTTTTTTTTTTTTGACAGATCTCATGGTCGATTCTTATTTTTGTTCACTGAATCAAACATTTCTTCAAATCCATTATAGTATACTTCGAAATGGTGTTTTCGTTTGGATTCTGCCGTAAGTGTTTTCATTCCAAGAAGTCTTCAGCTGCACTGCTCTTTTTCCTTGATGGTTTCAATAAGTTACTTATAACTGTTGTTTGGGTTGAGATTTTCTCTTGGTGTTTTAAAAAGTTTTGTGACCAGGCGCAGTGGCTCATGCTTGTAATCCCAACACTTTGGGGGGGCCGAGGCAGGCAGATCACCTGAAATCAGGAGTTCAAGACCAGCCTGGCCAACATGATGAAATCCCGTCCCTACAAAAATTAGCCGGGCATGATGGTGGGTGCCTGTAATCCCAGCTACTCGGAAGCCTGAGGCAGAAGAATAATTTGAACTCAGTAGGTGGAGTGAGTGAGCCCAAGATCATGCTATTGCACTGGGAAACAGAGCGAGACTCCATCTCAAATAAATAAATATATACATACATAAAATTTTGTATGATTTTAATCATAGGTTTGTTGCCTGATGTACAAGGCAAGTTAATATGCAGAGACACCTGGTGGCAGCAGAGAAAGAGGTTTAATCGTAGGGCCACCAAACAGATGATGAGATGAGAGGAACCTCAAATCTGTCTCCCTGAGGATTTTGGTTTTGGAGTGGGCCAAGGTGTTGAGCTCGTTGATTGGCCAAAGAGTACAAAGGTGTAGTCATGGGACAGCATCAGTATTCTCATGCTCATTTGGTTCCTCTGTGGGGATCTTCAAATTCATATCCGTTGTACTTCTGGAGTTCAGGATCTGCTAAAGAAATTCTTAAGAGCCTTATGATTAGAAAGTGAGAAATCTTATTTAAGGAACAATGGGGATGCAAATAGTATCTAGTGCCACCCTAACTTTTGATTATAAGGAAGTGAGTCAAGGTGCAGCCTGATTAATGCTTAATTGTAGTTGTGTATCTGTCCAGAATTCTTGTTAAGGCTGTGAAGAGGGCTTCATGGTCACTTGACTAACCTTCAAAAAAGTTTTGTATGGTCTTCCACATTTTCTTTTGAGTGAAAACTTGTCCAATCAAACTTGAACTCTAAATGGAACATAAGAATAGAACATAAGGCCAGGCGGTGGTGGCTCATGCCTGTAATCCCAGCACTTTGGGAAGCTGTGGCAGGCAGATCACCTGAGGTCTGGAGTTCAAGACCAGCCTAACCAACATGGAGAAACCCTGTCTCTACTAAAAATACAAAATTAGCCAGGTGTGGTGGCTCATGTCTGTCATCCCAGCTACTGGG